CAAACAAGCAAGATTTCTGTCTCTCACAGACCTGTAACTTCTTCTTTAAGAGGATCCTATGTCCTCCACTCGTTACCTGGATTAATGGCACCTGTTTGAACTTGTTATCAGTATAAAAGACACCTGTCCACAACCTCAAACAGTCACACTCCAAACTCCACTATGGTCAAGACCAAAGAGCTGTCAAAGGACACCAGAAACAAAATTGTAGACCTGCACCAGGCTGGGAAGACTGAATCTGCAATAGGTAAGCAGCTTGGTTTGAAGAAATCAACTGTGGGAGCAATTATTAGGAAATGGAAGACATACAAGACCACTGATAATCTCCATGCAAGATCTCACCCCGTGGGGTCAAAATGATCACAAGAACGGTGAGCATAAATCCCAGAACCACACGGGGGGACCTAGTGAATGACCTGCAGAGAGCTGGGACCAAAGTAACAAAGCCTACCATCAGTAACACACTACTCCGCCAGGGACTCAAATCCTGCATTGCCAGACGTGTCCCCCTGCTTAAGCCAGTACATGTCCAGGCCCGTCTGAAGTTTGGGAGAATGTCATATGGTCAGATGAAACCAAAATATAACTTTTTGGTAAAAACTCAACTCATCGTGTTTGGAGGACAAAGAATGCTGCGTTGCATCCAAAGAACACCATACCTACTGTGAAGCATGGGGGTGGAAACTTCATGCTTTGGGGCAGTTTTTCTGCAAAGGGACCAGGACGACTGATCCGTGTAAAGGAAAGAATGAATGGGGCCATGTATCGTGAGATTTTGAGTGAAAACCTCCTTCCATCAGCAAGGGCATTGAAGATGAAACGTGGCTGGGTCTTTTAGCATGACAATGATCCCAAACACACCTCCCGGGCAACAAAGGAGTGGCTTCGTAAGAAGCATTTCAAGGTCCTGGAATGGCCTAGCCAGTCTCCAGATCTCAACCCCATAGAAAATCTTTGGAGGGAGTTGAAAGTCCGTGTTGCCCAGCGACAGCCCCAAAACATCACTGCTCTAGAGGAGATCTGCATGGAGGAATGGGCCAAAATACCAGCAACAGTGTGTGAAAACTTTGTGAAGACTTACAGAAAACGTTTGACCTGTGTCATTGCCAACAAAGGGTATATAACAAAGTATTGAGAAACTTTTGTTATTGACCAAATACTTATTTTCCACCATAATTTGCAAATAAATTCATAAAAAATCCTACAATGTGATTTTCTGGATTTTTCTTTCTCATTTTGTCTGTCATAGTTGACATGTACTTATGATGAAAATTACAGGCCTCTCTCATCTTTTTAAGTGGGAGAACTTGCACAATTGGTGGCTGACTAAATACTTTTTTTCCCCACTGTATGTTTGGGGCAAATCCAACACAACACATTGCGGAGCACCATTCTCCATATTTTCAATCATAGTGGTGACTGCATCATGTTATGGGTATGCTTGTAATCGTTAAGGACTGGGGAATTTTTCAGGGTAAAAAATAAATGGAATGGTGCTAAGCACAGGCAAAATCCTAAAGGAAAACCTGGTTCAGTCTGCTTTCCACCAGACACTGGGAGATGAATTCACCTTACAGCAGGACAAAAACCTAAAACACAAGGCCAAATCTACACTGGAGTTGCTTACCAAGAAGACAGTGAATGTTCCCGAGTGACCGAGTTACAGTTTTGACTTAAATCAGCTTGAAAATCTGTGGCAAGACCTGATAACGGTTGTCTAGCAATGATCAACAACCAATTTTACAGAGCTTGAATTTTGAAAATAATAATGTGCAAATGTTGCACAATCCAGGTGTGGAAAGCTCTTAGAGACTTACCCAGAAAGACTCACAGCTGTAATCGCTGCCAAAGGTCCTTCTACAAAGTATTGACTCAGGGGTGTGAATACTTATGTAAATGAGCTATTTCTGTATTGTATTTTCAATACATTTGCAAACATTTCTAAAAACATGTTTTAACTTTATCATTATGGGGTATTGTGTGTAGATGGGTGAGAAGAAGAAAAAATTACAATTTAATCAATTTTGAATTCAGGTTGTAACAACAAAATGTGGAATAAGTGAAGGGGTATGAATACTTTCTGAAGGCACTGTACATGTACTCCACGTCTCTCCTGTTAAGTAGCTATAGCAGTCCACACACTGCAAGTTCTGAGGTTCTGATTCCGACTTGGCAGATCTGAGTAGCTGACTATACTGCGAAGCTGGCGTCCCAGGATTCTGATCTTGGATCAGTTCGTATGTGACGGTTGGCTCAGGCCGCTGCTCTGTTGTAAGTCTATAGGGTAAATCCATTTGAATTCAATCACTTTTTGACAGCATCCCTTTTGATTTAAACAACACTTTTCATACATGTTTGCCCATGGAAGAAGTGGTCAGAAAGTGACTTTTTGGACCTGAATGCCAAAACATTCAAAAGATAAAGGTGCTCAAAGTTGACCCATGTCACCATACCATGAGACATCGCTGTCTTCATCACTGATTTTTTAAAATATAAACGGTTGAGTTTGATGTCATTTAAAAGATGACAAAGTGTTGTCAAACTATTTCATGATTTCCAAAAATGTATATGTAACCTTTTCGAGTTCCAAATATCTCTAACGGTCGCCCCAGCGTGAGCTGTTTTATGCACGTGATGTCAGAATGCATTCACTGTTCCAAAATGTGATTGTTAAGCAACAGGACAGTTAACCGGCGCAGCCTGCTAATTATCTATAGGCTGTTTCAACTTGTCAATTTCTAATTATTTTCTAACACGATCTACTGTATATCATGTTGTTGTTTCTACTGTAGCATACAGTATGGAGCATAATGTATTTACAGTTTTATTCAAGTTTTGAAGTACTGGTGACAAATAATGCATTCCGATTATTTCATAGATTGTAATTGTAATGGACACCTATGATGTAAAATACTTTTTTGAAGGTTGTACTGATTACAATGAGCTAATGCTGGTAGAGCACGGCGCTTGTAACGCCAAGGTAGTGGGTTCGATCCCCGGGACCACCCATACACAAAAATGTATGCACGCATGACTGTAAGTCGCTTTGGATAAAAGCGTCTGCTAAATGGCATATTATTATTATTATTATTATATTTGCCAGCTATGTGTGGCGTCATGTTTGTTGACATTATACAATGCATTCTGGGTGTCACGTAAACGTCTGTCAGAGCAAAGATGTTATAATGAGGTGAAGGAATGGTTCACTCATCTTTCGAGTAAACTTACGGAAGTTAATAATCGTAGACGACAACATCAACCCCTTCAACATGCATACTGCAAACAGACCAAACTCATCTTGTCTCTTCTTATCTTTGGTAGACACGAAAAAACAAACATGGTGGCGCGCACAAACTATACATTGTATAGTTTGTAATGAATTGTAAATAGTAATTGCTATTAGCTATTTCATATTGTGGTTTCTGTCAGCCGAGAGTTAGCTAAATATGACCGCTTGTGTTAAGTCAATCTTTCCTCAGTTAGCGCTAGGACTAATGTAGCCTAGATTTTCCAGTTTGGATGACCTTTGTTATGCTGTCACTACTTCTGTGAATGTCTGAACATTGCATTCCAAAAGAAACTACTCACATTCAGGACATAACTTTGTAAGGACTGTATTTGTGCAAAATGTTTCTGTGAAAAAACAGTGTGGCCAACTCAAAAACTGACTGTTGTGTCAATCGAAACTGGACATTCTAATCACACTGGTTTGAGTGTATGCTCCAGGGACCACTGTAGAATGATCACACCTGTTTGTTGGTATGTGTCAAAGGGTTTAAAAAAAAGAAGTCATTTTTAAACATTTAACGTCAATTACCTGAAAACGTGTAAACTCCGATTTATTTTCTTCATATTTGCATATGTTGTAGCTTAGGCCCTTTTTCACATCATCTGAGGTTTTTGTGTTTTGCCCACCAACAGTTAAGACACAACTTGCTCTAGAATACAGGGTTTGGTGTCATTTCAATCATAGAAATAGAATGGACCTATCCCTTCAGACCGCTGGTACACCACTGAAATGTTTATTGAATAGAAATGTTAACTTCTAATTACTACCAGTCTACCACAAAGATGACCGCCGGTCCACCCACCGTTAAATGTCAACTTAAATGTCTATTCTATGATCTATATTTCCAATTATCTATATTATCTATGTTAACGTGTGGCTCAGTTGGTAGAGCATGGCGCTTGCCACGCCAAGGTTGTATTTATATTTTTATTTGTAAAATATTTTTAAAAACTCACTACTGTAAGTCGCTCTGGATAAGAGCGTCTGCTAAATGACGAAAATGTACATTTCTATGATTTCAATAGGTTTCCTCTGGAGGGTTGACAGCATAATTTTAAACAACAGATATTCCCATTCAAGTCAACATTCTCTGATGTGTGGACCTCCAACCATCTTTGTGGTACCGGTTGAAATGTTAAAGTTATTCCTATTTTAGTACATTTACTAGCCAAAACATGATACCCACCCTGTATTCAAGAGCATGTTGTGTCTCAACCAATGGCAGGCACAACAGAAAAACCTTAAAGGATGTAAAATATGGTATAAGCTTCAACATGTGTGAATATGAAAAAAAAGAATCTCCAGAAATTATAAAATAGTTTGACAACCCTGTTTGTAAGCTTTTAAAATTATATAAATCTCCACCGTTTATCTTTTCCAGTGATGAAGACATGGATGTCTCATGGTATGGTGGGGTATGAAAAATGTGTCAACTTTGAGCACCTTTATCTCTTTAATGTTTTGGCATTCAGGTCAAATAATGCACTTTCTGAGCACTTCTACAATGGGCAAATATGTATGGAAGGTTTTGTTCAAATCAAAAGGGGTGGATTAACCATATATCCACCTAAGCTGATTGAACGGTGGTCATCCAAGCAGCTGTGTGTTAATCTGATCCAGGATCAACACATCTGGGCAGCCTGCTCAGTGAAACTGATACGTGACAGTGGGAGATGACGAGGTGAACAGTAGTTGGAAATCTGATCTGGGGTCAGCAGATCTGGGCAGCCTGCTCGTTGACGGCGGGTCGGGCCTGGTGGGCCCTGGTGCAGGAGGACGTGTGTCTGTTGAAGCTGTCCCGCCACATGAAGCGCTTGGCGCACAGGTTGCACTCGTAGGGCTTTACGCCCGTGTGAATCTTCATGTGGCCCACCAGGTGGTGCTTCATCTTGAAGCTCTTACCGCACACGGCGCAGCCATATGGCCGCAAGCCCAGGTGCATGCTCAGGTGCCGGTCCCGTTGGCTCTTGTGGGTGAAGCTCTTGCCACACTGGCAGGGGTACAACTTGTAGACCACTGAGGCAAAGCCTGAGTGGGAGGTCTCTTCCTGGATGCCACTGGGGTTTCCTTCCAAGCCACCGCCGCTCTCTTCACCCCCGGTTGCCCCTCCTAGCAGGTCATCCTTCAGCCCAAGCGGGGTCCCGTCGCCCTTGTCGGTGGAGAAGCCCTCCATGGAGGTACCATAGAAGTCCAGCGGCTCCTCCTCCACGCGCTCCTCCAGCTGAACAGCCGGCTTCTCGTCGATGCTGTTGTCCAGGGAGCTCCTGCTGGCCGAGGCCTGAGAGTGGCTAAGGTTCAGCTGCTCGGGGTCAGTGACCGCGGGGTCCCCGCTAAACAGAGCCCCGCTACCCCCGCAATCCTCACGCCTCTCCGACTTCACATGGACCCATTTCCTGTGGCCCATGATGCTGGGAGGGACGTAGGCTGGTCTGGAGTACTGGTAGTCCCCCTCACCACCCTCCTCGTCATCCCCACCCTGGCTGGCGGTCTCGCTAACTGAGCCATCGTGGTCGACCGGTGGAGAGCAGCTGCCGCCGGGCTGGGTGCTGTTGTTCTCCAGAGCGGGTGGGGAGAAGCTGTTCATCAGGAGCTGATCCATCTCGATCTTGGCAAAGCCCTCCACTGCTCCTCCGCCGGCCTCCAGGCCCATGGAGCCATCCCCAGGGCTGTGGTAGCTGCTGTCCCCAGGGGAAGGCCTGTCCCCAAGCCCACCAGAAGACTTGTGCGCTAATGTGCTAGCGCCGCTTCCTACCACCTCTAACAGCTCAGTGCACTTGTCCACCACGTGCCACATCTGGAGGAAGCTTGCTGCAGTGAGGAAGGCTACCACTTCACCGGCCGGTAGGTGGAGGGTGCCTGTGTAGCAAGAGAGGAGGAGGCGCTCGAACACGCACGGGTTCATGACGTCGGGTAAAACACAGCGGGCACTGTTTTTGAGGAGCACCTGGTCGCAGAAGTAGGGCGAACTGGCGGCCAGGACGGCCCGGTGAGCACGGTACTGGTGGCCCTGGATGACCACGATGATGTCACAGAGCTGGCCCCTCTGCCGTTGCTGGTTGAGCTTCTGCAGCAGGGATCCGGAGAAGTTTGGGAAGTCCACGCGGAGCACGTTTCCCTCGGACTCCATGGCAGCCAGGGTTCTAGATCTAGAACATGTAGAACATCAACAAGTCATTCATTATGTTGAAGTTAAATATGTGGGTTCTAGATCTAGAATATAGAGGTATTGCTGTACATGGGCCTAGTACTTTGCATTGCACTCATGTTTTAACTTTGCGAGCACAGTTTCTGTGATTTGCCTTTCATCACTGACAAAACAGAAAAATCCACTTTCACTCCCACTTAGCTAGGAGATGTGATAAAAACACAATATTTGTGATTAACTATCCATGCCAGTTTAAAAGAAGGTAGACAAATATTAGTAGCTAGAACTTGCTAAAGATGGCCATAAATGTTACATAAGTGGAGGGTACTCACTAACCACTTTCTATCCACAGTTTTCATGTGAGCAAGGTCATACTGTATAAAAAAAATGAATCACGAGAGCTGTGACGGAAACAGGAAGTTTCGGTACAATTTTATAAATGCCTACAGATAATTTGTTCATTCCACACGGTGGGATCTTTTTGTGTCGGTAAAATGTATTATGCGAGAAATGGCGGTGGAAACGCCTTCATGCGCAAATACTGATATAATAACCATCATATTGAAGCAAACTTGGAGTCACGCGATGATATAGTGTGTGGTCCTCCCACTACAACTCGAGAAACCATGCAGTTTATTAGGTTACAGATTAAGTAAATTATGATGAACTTCACAGGGTGCTGAAAGTGCACGCTATGAGCTTGATGGTCCTTTCCAATAAATATCGAGGGTCTTATTCTGGTGACATGATGATCATGCTTGACTGCTGTTTGACAAAAACAAATATTCTTATCTATAATAATCTCATCATGTAGACTAGCCTACCCGCACTATATCTGCGAGCTGTTGGCTAGAGCGCATGTGCCAAGACCAGAGTAGGCACGCTATTTAAGGCAACAGTTTTTGTGACAAATCTATCCATAGAGTTGAAAATGCAATGGAAACACATTTAGATTTGTATTCTGTACATGAAAATGTAATAAAAATTAAATGTTGTGTGCACTACGTCATCACGCACTGATTTTTCTCAACAACAAGTCAGTTTGGTGGAAATACTCCACTTGAAGGAAAATGCTAATATTTTCTTTATGCGGATTTTAGAATATTCGCATGAAAATCTGTCGCCAATCGGATGGAAACCTAGCTAATGATACTCAATGATAGAAGGTGTCACCAACCAAATGCAATTGAATACTCACAATGAAGAAAAAACGTAGGTAAGCCATATAGGTTTTGATTTCAACATCTGCAATCTGCAATCTGTTATGTGCAGATTTGTATTCAGAACACTGCGGGCAAGTGTAAACATTTCCATTTCCCGTGTGATTCACAAGACGCTAAAAAAATATTGTTGCAGAAGCTGGCTAGCTGGGCTATGGTGCTAACCCAAGTAGAATGCACTGAATACATCAAGTTCTTACGATCATGGTGAATTCCTAGGTTTTCAAGAATGACTGTCCATACGTAAATATCTAGGTGTCGTACATGCATGAAAAATAGAGTTGTCTCACCTTTGATTTCATTTTGATCTCTTGATTTAGAATACAACAGTCACCCCTCTTCCGAGTTCCACAGGATTTCTTTCAGCCAACGTCATCACGTAGCCAAGAATCGCATGGCGCGTGATGAGCAATGTAAACAAACCCGCCGGCTGCCCGCCCCAACAGTCTGGTTTCCACTAGATAATACAGCCACAAAGTCAGATTCCACAGCCACAAATCAAATTAAATTGTATTTGTCACATGCGCCGAATACAACAGGTGTAGACCTTACCGTGAAATGCTTACTTACAAGCCCTTAACCAACAATGCAGTTCAAGAAATAGAGTTAAGAAAATGTTTACTAAATAAACTAAAGTAAAAAATTAAATAAAAAGTAACACAATAAAATAACAATACAGAGGCTATGCAGGGGGTACCAGTACCGAGTCAATGTGCAGGTGTGCAGGTGTACAGGTTAGTCGAGGTAATTTGTACATGTAGGTAGGGGTAAAGTGACTATGCATAGATAATAAACAGCGAGTAGCAGCAGTGTAGCTTGGCCCCAGTGATGTACTTACTACCCTCTGTAGCGCCTTACGGTTGGATGCAGTTGCCATACCTGGTGGTGATGCAACCGGTCAGGATGCTCTCGATGGTGCAGCTGTATAACTTTTTGAGGATCTGGGGACCCATGCCAAATATTTTCAGTCTCCTGAGGGGGAGTCAACATTGGCTACAAAAATGTGCTTTTAGGTCTTAATTTAAGGTTAGGCATAAGGTTAGCAGTGTGGTTAGGGTTAAATTTGGATTTCAAATCAATTTTAAGAAGATAAATTGTAGAAGTCTGGACACACCTACTCATTCAAGGGTTTTTCTTTATTTTTACTATTTTCTACTATGTAGAATAATAGTGAAGATTTCAAAACTATTAAATAACACATCATGTAGTAACCAAAAAAGTGTTAAACAAATGAAAATATATTTTATATTTGAGATTCTTCAAAGTAGCCACCCTTTGCCTTGATGACAGCTTTGCACACTCTCGGCATTCTCTCAACCAGCTTCACTTGGAATGCTTTTCCAACAGTCTTGAAGGAGTTCCCACATGTGCAGAGCACTTGTTGGCTGCTTTTCCTTCACTCTGAGGTCCAACTCATCCCAAACCATCTCAATTGGGTTGAGGTCGTGTGATTATGGAGGTCAGGTCATCTGATGCAGCACCCCATAACTCTCTTTGGTCAAATAGCCCTTACACAACCTGGAGGTGTGTTTTGGGTCATTGTCCTGTTGAAAAACAATTGATAGTCCCACTAAGCGCAAATCAGATGGGATGGCGTATCGCTGCAGAATGCTGTGGTAGCCATGCTGGTTAAGTGTGCCTTGAATTCTAAATAAATCACTGAAAGTGTCACCAGCAAAGCACCCCCACACCATCACACCTCCTCCTCCATGCTTCACGGTGGGAACCACACATGCAGAGATCATCCGTTCACCTACTCTGCGTCTCTCAAAGACAAGGCGGTTGGAACCAAAAATCTCAAATTTTGACTCATCAGACCAAAGGACAGATTTCCACCAGTCTAATGTCCATTGCTCGTGTTTCTTGGCCCAAGCAAGTCTTTCTTCTTATTGGTGTCCTTTGCAGCAATTCAACCATGAAGGTCTGATTCACACAGTCTCCTCTGAAGAGTTGATGTTGAGATGTGTCTGTTACTTGAGCTCTGTGAAGCATTTATATTGGGCTGCAATCTGACGTTCAGTTAACTCTAATGCTCTTCAGCAGAGGTAACTCTGGGTCTTCCTTTCCTGTGGCGGTCCTCATGATAGCCAGTTCATCATAGCGCTTGATGGTTTTTGCGACTGCACTTAAAGAAACATTAAAAGTTCATGAAATGTTCTGTATTGACTGACCTTCATGTCTTAAAGTAATGATGGACTGTCGTTTCTCTTTGCTTATTTGAGCTGTTCTTTCCATAATATGGACTTGGTCTTTTACCAAATAGGGCTTACTTCTGTATACTACCCCTACCTTGTCACAACACAACTGATTGGCTCATTAAGAAGGAAAGAAATTCCACAAATTAATTTTTAACAAGGCACACCTGTTAATTGAAATGCATTCCAGGTGACTACCTCATGAAGCTGGTTGAGAGAATGCCAAGAGTGTGCAAAACTGTCATCAAGGCAAAGGGTGGCTACTTTGAAGAATCTCAAATATAAAATATATTTTGATTTGTTTAACACTTTTTTGCTACTACATGATTCTATATGTGTTATTTCATCGTTTTGATGTTTAGATGTTTTGATGTTTTGATGTTTAGAAAATAGTAAAAATAAAGAAAAACCCTTGAATGAGTAGGTGTGTCCAAACTTTTGACTGGGACTGTATATACACTACCGTTCAAACGTTTGGGGTCACTTAGAAATGTCCTTGTTTTCGAAAGAAAAGCATTTTTTTGTCCATTAAAATAACATCAAATTGATCAGAAATACAGTGTAGACATTGTTATGTTGTACATGGCTATTGTAGCTGGGAACGGCTGATTTTTCATGTTTCTACATAGGCGTACAGAGGTCCATTATCATCCACCATCAGTCCTGTGTTCCAATGGCACGTTGTGTTTGCTAATCCAAGTTGATCATTTTAAAAGGCTAATTGATCATTAGAAAACCCTTTTGCAATTATGTTAGCACAGCTGAAAACTGTTGTGCTGATTAAAGAAGCAATAAAACTGGCCTTCTTGAGACTAGTTGAGTATCTGGAGCATCAGCAATTGTGGGTTCGATTACAGGCTCAAAATGGCCAGAAACAAATAACTTTCTTATGAAACTCGTAAGTCCATTGTTTTTCTGAGAAATGAAGGCTATTCCATGTGAGAAATTGCCAAGAAACTGAAGATCTCATTTTCTTCGCTGTGTACTACTCCCTTCACAGAACAGCGCATACTGGCTCTAACCAGAATATAAAGAGGAGTGGGAGGCCTCGGTGCACAACTGAGCAAGAGGACAAATACATTAGAGTGTCTAGTTTGAGAAAGCAGGCCAGAGGTGGATGAACGCAATGCCCTCGTTTGGGTGTAGGGACTGATCAGAGCCTGAAGGTACGGAGGTGCCGTTCCCCTCACAGCTCCGTAGGCAAGCACCATGGTCTTGTAGCAGATGCGAGCTTCAACTGGAAGACAGTGTAGTGTGCGGAGGAGCGGGGTGACGTGAGAGAACTTGGGAAGGTTGAACACCAGACTGGCTGCGGCATTCTGGATGAGTTGTAGGGGTTTAATGGCACAGGCATGGAGCCCAGCCAACAGCGAGTTGCAGTAATCCAGACGGGAGATGACAAGTGCCTGGATTAGGACCTGTGCCGCTTCCTGTGTAAGGCAGGGTCGTACTCTCCGAATGTTGTAGAGCATGATCCTACAGGATCGGGTCACCGCCTTGATGTTAGCGGAGAACGACAGGGTGTTGTCCAGGGTCACGCCAAGGCTCTTCGCACTCTGGGAGGAGGACACAACGGAGTTGTCAACCGTGATGGCGAGATCATGGAACGGGCAGTCCTTCCCCGGGAGGAAGAGCAGCTCCGTCTTGCCAAGGTTCAGCTTGAGGTGGTGATCCGTCATCCATACTGATATGTCTGCCAGACATGCAGAGATGCGATTCGCCACCTGGTTATCAGAAGGGGGAAAGGAGAAGATTAGTTGTGTGTCGTCTGCGTAGCAATGATAGGAGAGGCCATGTGAGGATATGACAGAGCCAAGTGACTTGGTGTATAGCGAGAATAGGAGAGGGCCTAGAACTGAGCCCTGGGGGACACCAGTGGTGAGAGCACGTGGTGCGGAGACAGCTTCTCGCCACGCCACTTGGTAGGAGCGACCGGTCAGGTAGGACGCAATCCAAGAGTGAGCCACGCCGGAGATGCCCAGCTCGGAGAGGGTGGAGAGGAGGATCTGATGGTTCACAGTATCAAAGGCAGCAGACAGGTCTAGAAGGACAAGAGCAGAGGAGAGAGAGTTAGCTTTAGCAGTGCGGAGAGCCTCCGTGACACAGAGAAGAGCAGTCTCCGTTGAATGACCAGTCTTGAAACCTGACTGGTTTGGATCAAGAAGGTCATTCTGAGAGAGATAGCAAGAGAGTTGGCTAAAGACGGCACGCTCAATAGTTTTGGAGAGAAAAGAAAGAAGGGATACTGGTCTGACCACCCCTCAGCCATCCTCACGTATTTTGTGCCCCCTCATATATTTGGGATGCGTGATGCATCTGCACACACACACACACACACACACACACACACACACACACACACACACACACACACACACACACACACACACACACACACAGCCAATAAAACTGTTGATATTTCTAAATATATTTTTTGTGCTTGATGGGTGATCTTGATATCGATGATGTTTTCAAAGTAGCCCAATCAAAGGGTCTCCTGTTGAAGTTGTAATCTGTCCTGAAGTGGTGCTTTGTTGGTCTGCGCCTGTAGCTTGACCAGACATTCTTTGGCCCTGTGCTGTGGGCCCATCCTACGCAGGACAGGTGCAGGGATCAGCGAGGGCAGGTCTAAGCTCCTCTTGGCCGGGAATGGAGCCTTGCTATGGGCCCCTGGTCAAAAGTAGTGCACTATATAGGGAATTGGGTGGGGTGCCATTTTGGGACGTGACCATTGACACTGCAATTTGTACTACAGGGTCCCCAGGTTCTTACTGTTCTTGGGTATTAGTGAGAGAGACCACAGAAGCAACTCTACTGATACCTGACTAATATCACACAGGACAGGTGAAACAACTTGTTCTTATCTAGCTAGCTACCTGGATTTATCTCATGATATGTCTCTTGATATGGTGAATACAACAGGTATATACAGGACAAATCTGTTGTGTGGAATGAGTAAAAACCCAATGATATTTAATCTCAAGCACAAAAATATTCATTTTCAGTCGAGAAAAAGCGAAATGCTACTTAAATACTATTGCTGAAATGTACTGTGACCAAAAATATTTGCACCTGGATGTAAAATCAAAGCTAGCTATGGGAGAACTGTTCTTTATCAATATTTGTTTCATACATTGAACATACTTATGTTAGTAGGGAAATTAAATAGAATTCTAATAGCAGCTTCTTTTGTTTTTGAATATGGTATTTGTGGGGTTCTATTTTCTCATAATTGGATCTGTATGTGATGAATAGCTTAGAAGGAATGCATTAATGATAAGCATAGAAGGTTTGTACTATACTGATATAAATTGTTTCACATAACAAGCTGTGATTCATGTAAGGAACGTTAGGGGGTAGGACAGATAAGACTTGTATTTCTTACAGATACGAACACTGCCTCTTTGTTGTCTGTGAACCGTTGTCTGTGAACCGTCCTTGAACGTAGGTACTTACAGTACAGTGGTGTCTTTTGGGTGCTGACTGCACAGGTTGTTATGATAAAAACTTATGCCTGGCAACAGTGTGCAACGGTGGAGCGCCAAGAGGCTGGGACCAGCCTGTGCGCCAACGGATTGGCTGAGTAAGTCTAAACCACGCTCAGTCTCTACTCTGATTGGCCAGCAGAGAGTGGGAACTATCTCTGTCAGAGTATTTGAAGAAGAACTCAGAACAATGGATTAGTTCTCGGAGTGCCCTGCGTGGTATTTCAGTGGACCCGTATATACGAACCTTCATACTTATCATACATACATTTTGCTTAATCCATCTTGATTTAAATGTTAATGTAAAATTTGTTCCCAACATTGAAAAATGTCTGTGTTTGTGTGTTATTTTTTTTCCAGCAAGATGAAGGGGGTGATGTCCTGCAGGACCTAGCACAACATGTAAGGAAAATCGTTGTGTACTAACCTGGGATATTTACGTTAAGGATTATGTTTACCAATCGATGACAGTATTGACTCAATACGGGGTTTGCTTTCCGCTATCCGTCGCCGTTTAAATGTCTGACATATAACCGTGCTCGAGAAAACCACAGGTAGCATAATGTATTTCAGCAGATTTCGTGCGTTTCTGTGTGAAAAGACACTAATTTATGTGCTACTTAATTCGTGCGAAAAGACACCAATTTAACCAGTAGGCTACACACAACAACCATAAACGGATAGCCTATTTTTCTTTATTTTCTTTATTATGGCTAATTAAACGTTATGAATATACAGAAATGTTGTCTTTATTTAATAATGTTTCAAACACTGTAGTTGTATGCCTATGTACTGTTTGAGATTTTCTGAACATCATTTGTGAGAAAATACACACATTTACGTGCAACTTAATTCGTGGGAAAAATTGTTTTATTAATGCTAACGCTGTTTTCTATGCTTGATTTCGATTAATACTTTGGGATACCGGTGCACTTTTGGTCAGAAAGGCCCCTTTTCCATGTAGGCAACAGTACACGATTTTCTTCATAATGCATTTCATATTTCGTAGAGTCTAAATTACACAATTTTCTTCATAATTCATTTAATACATGTTAAAGAGGTTAATGTAAAAATAATGAAATATGTCGGCTTTCACTTATGGCACTTCCAAGGCCTTTCTATTGTGGTTATGTCAATCATATTATATACTTAGGCTATTGTAACGCGTTCAACCAGTTAGCAAGTCAGAAATGTCCGTTTCCTAGTACCGACTAGCACTTGAATGCTGTATTATGCCAACTTCACATACTCGTGGAAAATGGGAAGTTGTAACTCCCACATGATTGTGTTCAAGTGGTTTTGAAGTCGGAACAATTCTTAAACCAATAAGATTGGCAACAACATTTTCACTATTTCTCACTTGTAATTCCTACTTGGAGGGTCATTCAAGTGAAACTTCCCAGTCGGAACTAGGTATTTCCGATAACTCTGATAGCACCCTGAACACGACATTAATATGTGTGATCGACAACAGTAGGGTCTGGGTCCCGGCATGTGCAGTCCCCATACCCATTCCATAAGAGTGAGTCTCAGTAGTCTACTATATGTCCGTGCTATGTGAAGTAAGTATGGTGATTATTATTAAGGTTCTGGTCGTCTGAGATACCAACAAGTAAGGCTATACAACATACAATATCAATAAATATATATTTTCTCCTATTAGTGTATTTGAGTTTGTTCTGTCGTTTCTGGATGATTTAATTGAAATTGCAACCAACTTTCTATGGCTTGTTTTAGATATAGTGAAATTTGAGAGATTATTTAATTTCAAATAACTGAAAGTGAGAGGTTGTAATTTGAATAAAGGGGGGAAATGCCATTATTGAACATGTGGTGATTAGAACAAAAGATTTCACTCTTGACTTTGGCGAATATTATTGTGCGGCAGTGTCCTAATGCCTGCGCGCAGTGGACTATTGGCATCGTTTGCCATAGCAGGCTGGCATTAGATTAGAACATAAGATTTCACTCTTGACTTCAGCGACTATTATTGCGCATAAAGGGCCGGCAGTGTACTGTTGCGCGCACATTGTGCTTTTGCCTGCGTGCAGTGTGCAGTTGCATCCGCGCAGTGTACTATTGGCCTCGTTTGCCATAGCAGGCTAGCATTAAATTATAACACAAGATTTCACTCTTGACTTTGGCGACTATTATTGCGTGTAAATGCCGGCAGTGTTCTATTGTTTTGGGCGCGCAGTGTATTATTGCGGGCGCACGCAAAGTGTATTGTTTTTTGGCGTACAGTGTGTTTATTGGGCGCGCAGTGTATTGTTTTGGGCACGCAGTGTACTGTTTTGGGTGCGCGGTCAAAAAAAAAAAGAAGCAAAGCATCCCTTCCGATAGCCGACAGAGGAGGCCTCCGCAACGGGCCAATCGGGGTGGTGGGGAGATGGTGTCCAATCAGCAGATGCCACTGCCGACTTTATACATTTAACATGGGCATTTCGAGGCTATACTCCGACTGTCTAAGAAGGAAGCTAGCGCCATGGCCAGAACCAAGCAAACCGCTCGCAAATCCACCCGTGGCAAAGCCTACAGGATGCAGCTCGCCGCCAAGGCTGCGCGCAGGAGAGCCTCCCCGTTACAGGCCCGGCACCGTGTCTCAGAGAGATCCGTCGTTACCAAAGCTCCACTGAGCTGCTCCTCCGCAATGTGCCCTTCCAGCGCCTGGGGAGAAAAATCGCCCTGTTCTTCAAGACCGACCTGTGCTTCCAGAGCTCCGCCGTGATGGCCCTGCAGGAGGCCAGCAAGGCTTACCTGGTCGGTCTGTTCGAGGACACCAAACTGTGTGCCATCCACGCAAAGAGGGTGCATATCGTGCCCTAGGACATCCAGCTGGCCCGCCTTATTTGCAGAGAGCGCGCGTAAATTATGACCTGATCTCCAAAATCCCACCTCAATATTTCCATCAAAAAGGCACAATTGATCTATTTATACGTGGTCCTCTGTAGCTCAATTGGTAGAGCATGGCGCTTGTAACGCCAGGGTAGTGGGTTCCATCCCTGGGACCACACATACGTAAACATGTATGCGCACATGACTGTAAGTCGCTTTGGATAAAAGCGTCTGCTAAATGGCATATTATTATTATATACGCGCACGTCTACATTTCTCACCATGTATGTTGTTAACTAACCTGTCTAAAAGCTACGTATTGCACGTTTTACTTGCCTGAGGCGTTGAAATAAAAGGCATCAATCCAAATGTATTATCTACAATAGTCAAAGTCGCATGGCCAAATCAGGAAGGCTCCTCGCATGCGTTGCTGTATTCAGCACGGTTGAATGCATTCAGAGTCAGAGGTTGAGGATGTGTCTCTCTGGCGGGAGGTAAGCTTGGCTTATATACATACAGAGGTGGGTAGAGTAGCCAAAAATTGTACTCAAGTAAAAGTACTGTTACTTCAGAATAATATTGTTATGTATGGTACGACGTGCTGTACGTCGTACTGTACGTTGTTATGGTTTACGACAGTGTGCTGCTTTACGGATGAATGGGTTGTCAGAATGTGTGGCACATGTCATTAAACGACAGAGTGATGTACAATGTGAAACTGTGCAGATGTCCGTTCTTCTACAGCTAGGCTAGATATAACATTGGCGACGAAGATGGCTGAATTCAGTTTACCACCGCCAGCACCATTCCTTGCCGTGCCTGGCGAACCTCCAGTCCCGTGGAATAACTGGCTTGAAAGTTTTAAGACTTATCTCGAAGCTATGGACTTTTCTACAATCTCTGACAAGCGGAGGACAGCACTGCTCCGTCACTGCCTTGGTACAGAGGGACAGAGGATTTTCAGAGCGCTTGGATCGGCTTCTACATTCACTGCTGCAGTCAGCCTCCTACGGAACCACTTTGCCGGGAAAGAGCGACGCTACCGGCTACGGAAGAGACACCAACGGCCGGGTGAGTCCATTCAAAGCTATGTGGCTAATCTGAGGGATTTGGCTAGCTCTTGTAACTACGGGACACTTCAGGACGAGATCATCAGGGATCAGTTGATAGAGGGGACGTTATGTGAAAAGACAAGGGAGAAACTGCTTTTGGAATCCGATAATTTACAACTAGATGGAGCTATTAAAATAGCACTCCAGGTTGAAGCGGCGTTGGAATGCTCTTCAATGCTAACAGACAGCTCTGCAGCATACACTCATCCCCCAGCCATTCTCACACAGCAGCTTCAGCCCGAGCAGGCGCACTACAACGATCACGCGCTGCGCACGCCCTCCCACGTCGATAGCTGCATGGACACAGACACCGGCATGCCCGTGCAGCAGGCACACAGACAAACCAACAGAAGTAGCTGTGGCAACTGTGGGGCTAGCTCTCACAATTCAAGGGCTTCAAACTGCCCAGCCCGTGGGAAAATATGCAAGAACTGTTCAAAATACAATCACTTTGCGAAAGTGAGTGTGTCATTCTGCCCCTGCTACTAGCTCGAAGAAGTCGATCATCCAAGTGTCAGACTGGGTCCAAGCCCGACGGCCTCAGCAGTGCAACAAAATGCCCTCATTCTGGTCGGACCCCTTGCAGGTCAGTCGACAACTGGGGCCCGCCACATTCATGATGAGCAATGGATCACGCTGGCACGCCAGCCGCCTCAGAAAAGTCCCTGCCCCTCGAGGAACACGAAGGCACACAAAACAGACATGCAGGCCAGAGACGCCACCGGATGGACCTCCTCCACCACTACCACCCGAGCCCCAGCCTGTGTGTGCTCCCCAAGGGCCAGATCCACAAGCGGTGGCGGTTGAAGAAAGGCCTATGCGGGCACGAACACGCCCTGCTTATCTGGGGGACTACTTAACCTCTTTTCATTCTTAGGCTCCGTTAGGTGTCTTAGTCAACCTCCAGGTTAATGGACTGAACTGGCTAGTTTGGAGAGTCCATCCGTTTAAGGGTTAATGTTTATTTCTTACAGGTATCACTCTAGGTTCTTGCCCTATGGACATTTTATATATGGTACCAGTCCCTGGTTTTGGAAAGGGGGGGAAATGTTATGTATGGTACGACGTGCTGTACGTCGTACTGTACGTTGTTATGGTTTACGACAGTGTGCTGCTTTACGGATGAATGGGTTGTCAGAATGTGTGGCACATGTCATTAAACGACAGAGTGATGTACAATGTGAAACTGTGCAGATGTCCGTTCTTCTACAACTAGGCTAGATATAACAAATATGACTCAAATAAAAGTAAAAAGTAGTCATTCAAATAATTACTTGAGTAAGAGTAAAAAAGTACTTGGTGAAAAAACTACTCAAGTACTGAGTAACTGTTGAGTTACTTGAGTTTATTTTTTAACACAAGGCAACAATCAGACAGACAAAAATACAAAAGAATCATCTTTAGGCAAATTATAGTTCATTTAACAATAAAATAAATTTAAATGAATTACAAAATAGCTTAAATTAAAATAATTCAGGTAAATTCAAGTACTTATCAAATAAAATAATAATAATAAATAAATAAATAAATAAGCACCAGTAACACACATTTCCAAACCTTTATACTTTTTTTTACCAGGCAGAACTAGAATGAGGCAGCCCATAAACTCTCATAAACTGTGTATATGTGTGTCTCCACAGTGACAGAACAACAGAAGGAAACACACAAACATTTCATACCAGGCATGCTGAACAGAAAACTGCACACCAGAAGGAAGTGGTCAACATAAAATAATCAATAGGTGTTGATTAGACCTACTCAGTACCTTTGTATTGCATGGCAAGCAACAGCCCTTTTTCTGTGTGCCTAGAAATTAATACTCTGATCTGTGATTAGGCCACACTGCACATCTCACTGAGCAGAGGAAAAGAGCAGCAATACACATCAACTGAAAAAGCACCAGTCCATGATAGATGGCCAAATAAAACAATATTGCAGGCCTAGTATCCCAGAACACAAATTAAGCTGAATGCATGTTCTCTAAAAGGCATCAGAGGAGAATTATGTAGTTGTAGATGGGGCATTATGTTTACTTCCAGCTCCAAGTCAGCAAAAAAAAAGTCACACTTGTCCCCACCCCCCCAAGATAAGCAGCATAAAGCATGTATGATGTGTCTTTACAATGGAGTTATACATTAATAGCTCTGTGCTCTCTAGCACAACCATTACACAGTTAAGGGGATTAAACGCTTTGCTCAAAAGCAGCTGAGAGAGGAGCAGCTTCCCCCATCTAGACTCCCACAGACAGACAACAGATTTGGCAATATTCTAACCTTTAGGCTGACACTGGCCCTTTGACTGGTTGACTTCAGTCAACACTCCAGGAACTCTTTGGCACAGTAACATGAAAACCCTTTTATATTGAAGGCCCCACTGGGAGTTTGTGTGTGTGTGTCAAAACATGCAGAAACAAACTATTTCACCAAAGAATCGCTCAGTGATGTCACTATTAAGCTTCAACAGTAGCTGGCTCTCAAGGTTCTTGCTGTGAAGCTGTGATCGTTTAGCAGTGAACAGGAGTCCTGCATGACTGAAAAGTCTCTCACAGGCTGCAGATGCAGGAAGACCTGTGTTGACTTTGAGTGACAGCTTCTTGATGCGAGGAAAGGTGTGGAGTAGATCCATACCTGCAGGGGACAGACATGAAAGGTACCTCTCCAGCTCTCCTACTTGTGATTTTCCCAACTCCATGGATGCAAAGAAGTCGTCTTCATCAGAGAGGCCGCTGTTTGCGCTGGTGACATCATCCAAGTCGGTGTTGAGGTGATTTCTGATGTAGTCAAGGCCTGTGGGTTTTAGGGCAAGATAAATCGTTTTTCAAACGAATTAAGTCTGCACATTATTCTTACCCTTCTACTGTATAGGCTGTCAAGCTGCTGATGTTTGACATTAAAAGCTACCTGAGCTTCTAACTATATTGCCATCCTGTGGTTTGTCACTGACACACTATAATCCTAAATTACAGTAATATTATACAGAGTTATATAGGTCAATGTCTACTGGTTCATATTTGAATTGATAAACAAGTATATTTACCAGCATTTAAGATGTTCTCCTCTGTGGTCCAGGATGTTCTGAATCTTGGTAGGAGTATTGCTGCTGCAATCAGCTCAGGCTCTTTCATGACGTCTCCAAAACGTTTCTGGATCCCTTGCTACAGGGCGTGAACAAGAGGTGTACACATTTTGCAAGTTGACTCCAACCTCTTCAGCTTGTCCCGCAACTGGTAAGGTGTTGGCAGCAGGAGGCCCATATGCACAGATGATTCCCCTTGGAGGATATTAAGGACCATGGCAACAGGCTTCATCACAGCAGCATACTCGACCAAAAACCCAATTTCAGCTGGATTGAACCTATAAAAGATGTAACAATAAAAAAATTACTTATAGCTATTTCTGGTACAATGTCTTTATTATGCATTGTACATGTTAAATACACAAATAAATAAAAATAAAATAAATTAGTTAAATTATTTCATTCAAGTCATCCACAATTGTCACACCACCATGCAAAGAAAACTTAGTTACTTGAGACAAGTGGATTCACCCATTAATCAGCAAGGCTTATTTATTTTTATTATTCTTTTAAAACAAAATATAAATTTTGTCAACTTACATCTTTATCTTTAATGCTGTGCAGACATTGTGAATTGCTTGTTCTCCTTGCTCTCGGTGAATGCGCACAATCCTTTCTACAGCGAGGAACAGGGAGCTCCAGCGTGTCTGATTGGGTCGGAGAAACAGCAGCTTGCATTCATGTTCCACTGTTTCATGAGCCATGGTTGACCTGCTGGTTTTATTCCAAAGAGCATGACATTTTGCAAAAGCAGACCGAGACAGCCTCTTGTAGGTTTCGTTTGCAGCTCCTCCTGCAGCAGTG